TCTCATCCGGTCTTGGAGTTTGCGTATGTGGGACCTGGTCCGCTGCATCTTCAAGCCTACGTTCTAGGCTAGGCTAAAGCAGTCCTCTTTAGTTTAGCATATGGCTAGGAAGGTAAGACTCGGGGAAGGCTAAACTCCTTAGACTGTCAGTCAAGCTGCATAGGGAGTCAGTTAGCTGGAGAAAACTGACCTCTGGACCTGGCCTCCTCCATCTACACCTGCGGACTGCCCTGCCCGACCTGCCTGGGAGTTCTTCAGTCCTGCACCGGACCTGTCCACGTTCAACGGCCGCTGCGTGGCCTTGGTCCTCGTTCTACAGTCTGAGTTTACAGCCCGTCCGTCCGTGTGGAGTGGATCCCTCTCTCAATATGAATCTCCCCGAGGTTTCTCTCTTTTCTCCCACTGGGTTTAAGAGTTTTTCCTCTGATGCAGGAGTCTGTTGGACAGCTAGAGTCTAACAAGAAGGACTGTGAAGATCCAGAACACTTTAACATTCTACAACATGTATGACATTTATCAACGTTCATGGACATTGGTTCCTCCCTATGGACCAATACATTTGTGTATATTTTGTGTCTTAACTGTTGGTTCTCTGATCTGTGTTGGTGACTTCAATGGTTTTGTTAAGTCTCTGAGATGATTCTGTTGTGATTTAGGGCGATACAAGAATACATTGTATTGTATTACTACTACTACTACTACTACAACTGCTACTCCTACTTCTACCACGACACTAGCAGCCAACTCTGGAAGAGGTGATAAAGTTAGGTCTTTTTAAAATACTACATCAGCTGTCAACAAAACACAACAAATGTCAAAACAACAATAAAATACTAATGTTTCTTTTTGCAGCAGTAAATAAAGACTTTTATGTGAAAGAATCGATCGCTTCAGTTTGTTCTGGAGGCAGTGGGAGGAAGAGGAGGAGGAGAGGAGCCCAGAGCCAAGTCCTACACACACACATACGAATACACACACTACACACACACACACGCACACACACACACACACATACGAATACACACACTACACACACACACACTACACACGAATACACACACACACACACACATACAAATACACACACTACACACACTACACACACACATACAAATACACACACTACACACACACACACACATACGAATACACACACTACACACACACACACACATGCACACATGCACACACACACACACACACACACGAATACACACACTACACACACACACACACAAACATGCACACACACACACACATATACGAATACACACACAACACACACATGCACACACACACACACACACACACACGAATACACACACTACACACACAGACACATACAAATACACACACTACACACACACACACACATACATACGAATACACACACTACACACACATGCACACAAACACACACATATATAAATGCATACGACCACACACATACAAATACACACACACACACACACATACAAATACACACACACACATACAAATACACACACACACACACACACACACATACAAATACACACACACACACAATCATGATGAGTCAAGACAATACTGCAAGTCAAAATTAGCACATGTTCAGAGTTTTCCAGAGATTGTCAGAACTTCTGTGGCTCTAATGCTAACTGAGGAACTAAGGAATGCTACCTTTTTGGAAAACGCTAATGAAGCAACTAGCATTTTACTTTGGACCAGAGCAGAGAAAACGGTCCGAACCAAGCGGCCACTCCACCTTTTGACCCGTCTTGCTCCACCCAGAGGCTACTCCACCTCTGCGGCTGTTGCTGATTATTACTATTGTTTGCTTTTTAGAAAAATCTTGTTTTATTTTTTATTTTGGCTGCTACTGGATCCCTGAATTTCTCCTCCGGGCATCAATAAAGCATCAATCCATCTATCTCTACAACACAACATCCTCTGTCGGTTCCACCTCTTCTTCAATCAATCAATCAATCAATCAAAGTCCATACATTTTACTAATTCCTAAGATTTGTAAGTGCTTTGTAAAGTCCCAGGATTATCTTACAGGCAGAGCCCCAGCGGCCGTCAGCAAATATCAACCATGGACTTAGTATTGTCTCATAAACATTCAGACGTATCCAAGTACAATAAACTTCTGTAAATACTGTCCACAGTGTCTATACTGTCCTCGAACCAAGTGCTAGGGCAGCTCCAGAGTTTTATTTTAACTTATTCTATTATTGTATTACTTATTAGTATTTTTTTTACTTTTGAATGTGTTGGAAACGACCCAGAGGCTACTCCACCTCTGCTGCTGTGACCCGCCCTGCTCCACCCAGAGGCTACTCCACCTCTGCTGCTGTGACCCGCCCTGCTCCACCCAGAGGCTACTCCACCTCTGCTGCTGTGACCCGTCCTGCTCAACCCAGAGGCTACTCCACCTCTGCTGCTGTGACCTGTCCTGCTCCACCCAGAGGCTACTCCACCTCTGCTGCTGTGACCCGTCCTGCTCCACCCAGAGGCTACTCCACCTCTGCTGCTCTGACCTGTCCTGCTCCACCCAGAGGCTACTCCACCTCTGCTGCTGTGACTCGTCCTGCTCCACCCAGAGGCTACTCCACCTCTGCTGCTGTGACCCGTCCTGCTCCACCCAGAGGCTTCTCCACCTCTGCTGCTGTGACCTGAGGCTGTTGCTGATTATTACTATTGTGAGCTTTTTAGAATGATCACATTTTTTTTTTTGCTGCTACTGGACACCTGAATTTCTTCGACGGGGATCAATAAAGTATTTTCGATTATCTTAAATAATAGACCCTGTTTGATGTGTGCAGTCTGAGTGCTGTTATTTCTTCCTTTTATTCTGCAGTAAAGTGCAACGATGACCACTGTGGGACAAACAAAGGATTGTCTTATCTTATTGTATTTCAAAAATGTCTTCTTGTGCCGCAACGATAAAGACACATAGAGCCATTGATGCAGTAGAGGCGGATGTTGATAAAATCCATAAAAGTCCTGGATGTCCGGGTCATATACTGTGGACCAGACGTCACCTTTAAAGACCTTATGACGGGTTTGATTTATTTAGAAATACAGTTTTAATACCATTTTATATTAGAAGAGAACTACTAAAGGTTTCAAAATCAGTTGTTGTTTTTTTTGTCTGATCCCCCCAAATCGAAATAACCCCATAGCAACGCCCTTAGAGACGAAAAAACTTCACAGCCCTTGGTGACGTCAGAGTGGGTACGTTTCAACGCTGTAAGTTGTTTACAATTTGGTATTCGTTCTTTTTTCGCGGATATTCAAGATGACAAGGCCGTGTACAGCGAGTCTAAGATAACTACTAGAAAGTAGCATTTTGTTGTCACTGAGATAGTCCAGTGGTTGTGTCGATAGACTGCCAATCCAGATACTGGGATTCAAATCCCACCTAAGACACTTTTTCACTCTCAAAACGGCAATTTATGTGTAGTGAGCAATTGTCACCTGTAGAGGGCAGTATTGTGTTGGGCCTCAGTGGAGAGAAGAGAGAAAAGGCAGTCCTGTGGCATAGATCCATGGTTTTCAATGCATGGGCGTAACCCGCTGTGACGTCACACACAGGTTAGAGCATAGACAACTTAAATTCATGAAAAACACGTTTTTTATAAAATGTAGGATTTTTTTTGCCGGAATCTCTTTCAAATTGACATTATCATGCAATTTTGATATCCACTATTTTTTTTTTTAAAACCCGTCATAAGGTCTTTAAACTTCAGACAGAACGTAGAGACGCCACGTGAAGCTGCTTTTGTGTCGGTTTGGACCAGACACTTTTCCTCCTCTGAGATTGCCACAAACTGTAAATCTGTCGCGCTGAGTTCAGGGCCCTCAGGAGAAACTGGCCACACTGCAGTCCTGTGGTGGTGCGTTCAGGGCCCTCAGGAGAAAGTGGCCCCACAGCTATTGTCCCGACTGTGACGCATTAAAGACCCGTGGTTTTTACACAACATCAAAAGAAAAAGAAATCCATAAAAACATGTATTTAGTTCAGTGTAAGAAAGTCCAATGTCTGAAGGAGCTTTGAGTTTCCTTTGAGCACATCCCCCCACCCCTTCTGTCCAAACACACTGTTTTAAAACTCATCACACTACGACGTCATGGACAGAGCCTTTTCCTGCTTTTACAACCGGTTATTTTTATTTTTGGCAAAACCTGATGATGACTAGTGTTGGGAGAAACATGTTCCAAAGGTAATGTGATTATTGTGATTACTCTTCATGAGGCATCCCAGAAAAAGGTCACATATTAAGGTCAGAAACATGCGGTAAAATGCATTTTAAGACGGAATTAGATTGTTTTTATTCTATGCCATCGTGAGATCAGCAGAGGAGAAAAATCTGCACCAATAGAAGCCGCCTTGAAGTGATGAGTTTTTGATGAGAACAGAGTTACGTTCAGCTCATAACCTTTAACTTTACAGATGATGTTAAAACCACAACCACTGGACTTCATCACGGATCACGGACAGATGATGCTGTGTTCATAAATAGAATGTGTCGTGTGTAATTAAAAGAGGAAAGTAATTAAGATCGATTTACAGATTTACATAAATGCAAATGAGTGTGAACCTGTGGAGGCGCCGTCCACACACACGACTAAGTTATGTAGATCAACTTTAAACATTGTTCAAGCAAACGTGATGTCATCACTTTGCTCCAACTAAAGGCAATTTATTTGTATAGCACATTTCATACAAAAACTAGAGTTCATTGATTACGTTTCCAAAGCAGTGGTTCCGGACCTCTCTCCTGTAAACCCATGCTGGAATTGATGTGTGAAAATCTGCATGTAACCATGGAAACCAGATCCTACTGAGCCACAGCCGCTGTGTTCAAAAGTGCAGGGAAAAGCTCTGCTGATATTAGACATGTTTGTATTTGGATCATGTGATGAAGCACACACTTCATCGTCTTCTTCTCGGTTTGTTACATGAGACCATGAGCAAGACCACCCTCCCCTCCCTCACCCCCTCCCTCACTCACCTGAGAGCGTCCCGGCCTCCAGTCGCATCACGTGGCTTCGCACCCGTTGCGTCCGTGTGAGCAGCGCAGCAGAGCGCCGCACCACCTGCGTGAGCTCCGCCTCCAGCTCCTGCACGATGTCGGCGCCATGACGCGACACGTCGGCGAGCTGCCGCAGCACAGACACCAGCGACAGCGCGCACACGTCGCCCAGACGCTCACAACTGCGCGCCTCTGCTCTGCGCACGTCCCGCGGCAGCACGCAGCGCTTCGGGAACGGCATCAGAGCACGCAGCGCATCAGGGACATCAGGGACAGCATCAGGGGCTTCAGGAGTCCTCCGTCATCAGTTCCATTGGTCACATTCGCCCCGGGACAGTCTGTGGATGAAGCATAGGCCGTATATTAGAAACAGATATAGATAGATAGATACATGTACTTGTTTACAGTCACTGCAGAATGAAAACTCAGGCTGGAGGCATTTGTTCACAAGCACCGTGTCCCCCATTGTCAGTCCTGGTTTAGTCCTGGTTTAGTACTAGTATAGTTCTGGTTTAGTCCTGGTTCAGTCCTGATTTCCAGCGGAAAAGTTCAACAATGTTCATCTCCTGCTTTTGCTGCATACATCGAGTCTGCGTACCCACCGCCTCTGCCGCGCCGCCATGTCTGCCGCAGCACAAACCTGCGTGTCGCGACGCACATGCAATTCCACGCACGAACGTACGTCACCGTTGACTTTGCACTAAACGCAACGCATGATCCAGTCTGAACGCCGCTTCAGTCTCAGTAGTATTAGAGCTGGGCTGACCGAGCGTGACCACACCTTAGCGTTCGTCGAATTTGGAAGAAGCCAATTCAGGCATAAGCTAGCTAGAGCCAATTTCCTTATATGGGCATTTGTTCCGACCGCATTAGCTTTGTGTTATAACGGGTAGACGGGCAGACGTGTTGCTAAGATCGTTGCTAATGCAAGATGGACTTTTCCGTGCAAAGAAAGGCATCAGATTGGCCACCAATATATGGCTTATATCTGGATTTACAAAGACAGTAATAAAATAAAAATATAAACACCAGGATCAAAGAAAGCGCTAAACCAAGATTCTTTAAGCCCAAAATGGTAAATATGACACAAACAGCTACTGAGCCAGAGGAGTTTACTTTTCAATGTCAATCATTAGAAGCAGAACGTGTTGGATTAAAACTTCACCATGAACCTTTCCCTAATGGGCTTTGTTAAGCAGTCTATGGTGTGGAGCCTTGGTTCAGTGGTTCTCAATGGTGTCGGGACCATCAACATGACACCAAACCCAAATAAGTTTAGTCCAGTAATATTGTACAATGCTGTGTGTTACTGTTAAAGTAAAGGTTAACATAGAAAACAATATCTCAAACAGACTCTGGAATCATGGAAATAGATAAATAAGCCTCGAAATAAGTTGAAATGTGTCAGAGTTAGAGTAATGATGTCACTAAACCTGCAGCTGGGGCAAGTTTTAGCAGTTTTAATCTCATTCTCAGTGGATTTAGATCCAGATTTGGTTATTTTTGTTAGTAATACATTGCATTACCTTCAACGCTTGCATTATGGACACATTTCTTGGCATTACTTCTACTGACTCGACACAGATGGCCAAATCTGCAGTGTAGTTAATGTATGTGTTTTAAAAATTGTCATGAGAGGTTTGCGACCCACCAGTTGAGAACCACTGCGGTAGTCCCCTCAGTCCCTCAGTCCATCAAGTCCTGGGACAGTCTCCGTGAGGACGCTGCGCTCCGGGAAGAACAACGCATCTGCAGCAGGGAAAGTCACGCAAAAGTCACGCAAAACAGACGCAGATCACACGCGAAACAGACGCAAAAAAGACGCAAAACACAGGCGCGCACAAACTCCGGGTGAAGACTGTATCCGAGCCGCGCGCGTGCACCGCAGGAGGCGCGCGCACGGCGTAGGGGCTCGTGGAGGAGGACGGAGCGGAGACGCGTCGTGATCGTGCGTCTCTACCGCGTCTGGAGCGCGGAGCAACTGCGTCAACGCGAGAGAGAGGGGGGCGTGGTTATCCCAACGCCCAATCCATCACATCAGAGTTCATTCTAAATCTGGAGTAATAAAGCTGGAGTACGTCACTTTAAAGATGTCACTATCACGCTGGGGTACATAACTTTAAAGCTTGGGTATGTTAAAGATGAGGTATATACATTTCAGGACACGGCAATAGAGCATAAAATCTGCTGTTTCAGACAGAAAAGTGAAAAAAGAGAGGACCACCTTCACTTATATAAACAAACAATACTTACTTACAATTAGTGTCTCACGCATGGATCTATAATAATAGCTGGATAGGGTATGATAGCTTACAGCTGTCCCACCCATGGCCACAGGGGGCGCCCGTGGTACTGCAGACTAAATTCACGAGGGCTACCCAGAAAATTGCCCCATAGAACTCAATGTAAATTAAAACAGCTCGACATAGTTTCTGAACCTGACAGAGAAACTACAGCTTTCATAAGATTTTTGTGGGGATTTTAGTGTCCCTTTTTTTCTTCTTAAAGTTTTCTTTAAATCGACATTTTACTGCCACAAAATCTGCTCCTTTCCTTCCCGCTCTGAATCCTCTCTAGCTCAGCTCTGATTGGTCACGTGTGCACGTGCATGAGAGCCACACATGCGTATTTGGCGCAAAGCATCATGGGAGCTCGTCCGGTGCGCAGAACCGGGAGGACCAGACGATGCCCAAATATAGGCGAGTTCCTCTGATATGTCAGCGCCCGTGAAGTCCCATGCGCTACTGAGCACAAGCCATTCATTTGAACAGGGCGCCATCTTGGATCACCGGGGCGTGGTCTCACGGGGCTCTTTCTGACTCAACAATAACATGTTTTCTAAGATTCAATTCAAATTACAACAACAGCCGTTATCTTGGAGGACTTTACGAAGCTGTCGATTCGTCAACACAGATTAGATAATCAAATGTGAAGATGAAGAGATTCACAATATTCTCCTTTGACAACACTAAAGTTACGTTCCCCAGCTTTAATATGTGCATAATTACTGTCTGCTTGTTTAGGCTTTTCATTTGTAGGTCCCTCGGTATCTGAGTTATTGACTCTATATTACACTACAACTGTGGGGAAATTCCAGTGTTGCATCGCACAGGGCAAGAGGCACAAATGTGTTTTACTGAGAGCCCCTCCCCCACAGTCTTCTGAACCAAAACATGGGACGGTCCAGACCAGGGTGGGGTCCAGGGTCCAGATGTGAGGCTGCTGAGTGTAAGGGGGTCTGATTCTGAATCCAGGTGCAGGGGCATTCACCAACTGGACTGGGACTCAAGACCAGTCTGGTCTACTTCAGCCCTGCTTGCTTTAGAACTGCTTTAGTCCAGCTTTAGTCCTGCTTTAGACCTGCTTTAGTCCTGCTCTAGACCTGCTTTAGTCCTGCTTTAGTCCTGCTTTAGTCCTGCTTTAGACCTGCTTTAGTCCTGCTTTAGACCTGCTTTAGTCCTGCTCTAGACCTGCTTTAGTCCTGCTTTAGACCTGCTTTAGACCTGCTTTAGTCCTGCTTTAGACCTGCTTTAGACCTGCTCTAGACCTGCTTTAGTCCTGCTTTAGACCTGCTTTAGTCCTGCTTTAGACCTGCTTTAGTCCTGCTCTAGACCTGCTTTAGTCCTGCTTTAGTCCTGCTTTAGACCTGTTTTAGACCTGCTCTAGACTTGCTTTAGTCCAGCTTTAGTCCTGCTTTAGACCTGCTTTAGACCTGCTTTAGTCCAGCTTTAGTCCTGCTTTAGACCTGCTTTAGTCCTGCTTTAGACCTGCTTTAGTCCTGCTTTAGACCTGCTTTAGTCCTGCTCTAGACCTGCTTTAGTCCTGCTTTAGTCCTGCTTTAGACCTACTTTAGACCTGCTTTAGACCTGCTTTAGTCCAGCTTTAGTCCTGCTTTAGACCTGCTTTAGACCTGCTTTAGACCTGCTTTAGTCCTGCTCTAGACCTGCTCTAGACTTGCTTTAGTCCAGCTTTAGACCTGCTTTAGACCTGCTTTAGACCTGCTTTAGTCCTGCTCTAGACCTGCTCTAGACTTGCTTTAGTCCAGCTTTAGTCCTGCTTTAGACCTGCTTTAGACCTGCTTTAGTCCTGCTTTAGACCTGCTCTAGACCTGCTTTAGTCCTGCTTTAGTACCTGCTTCAGACCTGCTTTAGACCTGCTCTAGACTTGCTTTAGACCTGCTTTAGTCCTGCTTTAGTTTAGACCTGGTCCAGACCCGGTTCAGTCTCATTGATTAGAAGCAGCTGGTCTCAGACAGAACTCATTGTTCACACATTGGCTGCATCCAATTTCACATAAACCGTCTTTCCTTCTCGCCTCCTTCTTCCTTCCTTCTGCTGCTTCCTTCTCTTTGTTCTTGTCTTTAGTAGATGAAGTTTGACATAAATGTGATTAAAAAGTCTAAACCTGTTTAATGCAAACGTTGTGTCTGTGAGGAACATGTTTAATGGAGTAAGAGATGATCAGGATGAGCAACACTCCCTCTAGTGGCAGAATTTGGAAATTAGATTCTGCGGTCCATTTGCAGCCAGCGAAGAGGAAATGTGTGGCCCCCTAGTGGACATTAAACTTTAATGTCTGTGAGAGTCTGGGCTCAAATGTTATACATCATTTTAAAGGAGCAGTTTGTAAAATTGGTAGTGCAGCCTCTCCCACTCTCCCTGACTCAGGTTGCCAGATATGCAGACGAATCCAGCTGGGACCATAATAATAATAACTGAATAACTAAGAGTTTTATCAACAACAAATCTATAACCAACACCGTTTTCACAAAGATAGAAATCCTGGTTTTATTCCTTGTTTTGTCGTTAATGATTTGAGAATCATAACGAGACCTTTTTTAGTTCTGCGCCACATGGTACTTTACCAGTGAGATTAGCTCCACGCGGTGAGTTCTGGCGCCCGGATCACGGACTTTCTGATTGGTGAAACGGTGAAGGGCGGGACATCGAAATGAAAACAATAACAAGATTTAGGGGCTGTAAAACTAATTTTGAAATCAAAATATCTCTGAACTTCTGTCATCAGTTAAAGAAGTATTTGAAAAGAACATGTTTTATTAAGGCCTCTTGACAGATTAGGGCCCTTTAATGATGACATGACATGAAAATATTACATATTGCTACTTTAAAGATAATTTTATCAATGAAACAACCACAGCATTTATTTGACCAAATAAACCCTGAATGCAATAAGCAATAACTCAAGTAATGTTCAAGTAAATTACATTAAACCCAGTCGACAAGTACAAAGAATTTTTTTTGGGTCCAGTTTTGGTTCAATCCAAGCGGCTGGACTCATTTTGTTCCTAGATATTATATCAAACTCATTTAATAAAACTCGATAAAAAAATACAATACAATTCTGGACTTGCACTTGGTTCAAGGACAAGTCACTGGTGGAGTTTACACTGTAGTCAGCATCAGGAGGCTGTGATGGAGGCCCTCACACTACATCTGCCTTGGGCTCCTGAAGACTAGGACCGGCCCTGCGCAGAGCGTTTGTGTAAAAATGACATTAAAATATGACGAGAAAATATGAATGTTTCCAAAAGAGATTCACTTTGACTGAATGTGGAAGAATGAAACTGTAAGGGTGTGATACTCAGGTGAAGAGCAGCCTCCTGTTTGTGCCCAGAACTGAGGCCCCTCGCTGGGACCATATGGCCCTCAGCAGCAACAGGGCCAACACTGAGCCAACACGAGCCAAAGCGAGTCGGGCGGGGCCAACGAGAGCCAATGAGAGCGAGGAGGAGGCTATTTATGGAGCAGCGCAGAGATGGAGAAAACGACATGTTCCAGCGCTGTTCTTCAGTCGCATCTTTCTTTGCCTTTAACCAGGGGCCCGGGCAGTGCAGGGATGGGAGACCTCTGGGAACACCAGGCGCCACAGTTTGGGGCGGCTGTAAAGTGCTAAACTGTTGTTGTGTCCTTAGGCAAGACACTCTGAGTCTGATGTGTGTGTGTGTGAATGGTTGGTGGTTGTGGGTGGGGCCGATCGTTCAGACTGGTTGCCTCGCTCCTGTTAGTTTGCCCCAGGGCAGCTGTAGCTACAGTAGTATTTTATTATGGAGTGAATGAGTAATGTCTAGTGAAGCGTCTTTGAGCGTCCAATGAAATACTTTCTGAAACCAATGTGTGGAGGCTCATTTAAAGACAGCCACAGTGAGCCAGGTGCAAAAGCTCTTCTGACACGGAGACCAGGGAGACGTGATCCGTTTAAGTCCATTTATTGAACAAAATAATGACAAAAATGAACATTACAGTCATCCACAGTTTGCAGGTAGAAAATCTGTGTTCTCGCACACCTGAACTCAAACTCAAACTGATGACCTCAGAGCAGTCTAAATAATGGGAGTGTCTCTGATTTTAAAGCTGTTTTTAAACTTAGATATTCTGCAATTGCCTTTTACAGTTTTTAATCATTCTGACATTTACTAACTTATAACATTTTAGAATCTTTCTTTAACTTAGGATTTTAACCATTTAACTTCAACTTTTAAGGGTTTTAACCATTTTTAACGCATAATCTGATTGACCTTTTAACAAAAAACTGTTTAACACTTTTTAGCATTTTAACTGCTTTGGCTCTCACACAATGCATTTTTATTTTAAAGCTCAAGAACACACAAAGTAATTGTCAAAATCATGTAAAGCCACAAACTTTGACCCAGTGTCGGTTCAATTTAAGCAAAACCAAAAAAAATACATGAAAATCTATATTCAGTTCAATAATACTGTGCAATGTGAAAACCACAGAGGCCGAAGACGAGCGATGAAAGACTTTAAACAAAAACAAAGAAAATACCGACTCCATGTTTCCTCCGTCTCTTCTTTAAGTATTTAAGTTCATCAAATAACTCATGTTTTAACTGAAGTGGCTTTCACAGGAAATATCATAATAATGTGTCGGAAAAAATGTGTCCGACTCCACAACTCGACAATCTTCAAATGTGGACACCTCAACCCAGATCTGCACTGGCAAGGCAGGTTTTTTTGTATATCACAGTTCATACACAACAATCAAGGCATTCAAATCATAATTATTCACAGTACATTAAAAAAAGAGTGAAGATACAAATCCCTCAGTCGTCTCCACGGCAACGCAGAACTGTTTTAACCTGGATTAAAACATTCAGAGTAGAAGCCTGTGTCGCATTTTCAGGAAGACTGTTTCAGCTGCATGAATCTGAAATGCTGGTCTCCATGTTTAGTCCTGACTCTGGGACCAGCAGGAAGTCCTTGTGTGTGATTAAAAAGTCTAAAAAGTCCTGTGATCGAACCTGGAGCTGTTTTATACAAAAGGACAAAGAAACTAAAGTGTTGTGTCTGAATGAGGACTCCACAGATTCACACAAAACACGTGTTTGAGTTGTTTTAAAAAGTTTCCCCAAAATCTGAGCGTTCATGTTCACTGTGACGTTTACAGACTGATGATCCATATGGTCATTTTTTGGCCCCACCAACACTAATGTGAGGACCCCCACCCCTTCTGTGTGGAGAGAACACCGTTTGCAAACTCGTCACACTTTGTTTTGTGTCACTGTGGTTGAAGTGTTTTTTGTTGGACTGAAGCATGGGTCTATTATAATAACGGGACTGAAGCGACACGAGGCCGCCCCCTGTCGTCACCATCTGGAACTACACTGTACTGTCCCACGTGCATTTGTCTCGTGAGCATTGACCCATAATACTCCTATGGCATTATTATTGTTAGTAACTTTTAGAATTGTGTATTTATGAGTTTGTTGGATGTGTTTCTCCTCCAGGATCAGTAAAGTATGACGTGGATAAACCCTTCAGTGTCACTTTGAGAAACTGGATGAATGTTACATAGTGTATTATTTTGGGATTCAAAATTAGGACTTGAAACATTGAACAGAGAACAGTTTTTCCTGCAGCTGGACTCTGAAGACATGTATATTTATTATGTATAGACCAAAACTGTCAAAAGATTAAAGAAATAAAGAACACAACCTGCCAATAATGAAGATAACACTTTAAATGAGATTTAATATATATTGAATGTATTTTGATAAAAAAATAATTCTAAGATTTAACTTATTTTTTTTTCTTGCATAAAACTATCAAATGTCATTGAAAGCCCCATTTTTTTTAAACCAAATGCAAATGAAGGGGGCGTGGCTACAGTGTTAGACCAAAGCAATCGGTTGAGTTTCTGTTTTGATATTGCTCCAGTCCCCAAAGTGATGTAGGTCCTTCATATTCCTCTAACCTGCTCTGAGGTTTATGCACGACTTTTAGCTTCTTTGTATTTGAATCACAAGTAAACGTGCGCTGCCACACACACATGCGTCACTTCACGTTCAATCTTCTCCAAGACACAGCTTCAACTCCAAATATACACTTTTACTAAAAAAATGTTCTAGTTTCTTTCACAACCTGATGAGAGCCTTTAACAGACACTTCATGAGACCAGGGAGAAAGGCCAGACTGAAGAAAAGCCACGAGTCCAGCTTCAACCATAGACTGTAGCTTCAACGTGACAGGATTTCCTTTGACAAAGCGCTGGTTCTTTAATGAAAACAGCGGCACAATTTGATCTAAGTTCAGTTTTGGGTCAATCGTCTAATTTTTGACTGACAAAAGCAATACATGGTTTTAATCTGCACAACTTTGATGCAGTTCCACAAGTTCAGAGACACTGTCCATTGTATCAAATATTTGTTAAATAATCTAGAACAGGGGTCTCCAACCTTTACCTCACCAGCCCCTTTCAGGTAGCTGTGTTAGAATTTAACAAATAATCCTGAATTACTACATTTGGAGGCATTAAATAACTATTCTAAGTAAAAAATATACTATAATACTGTATAACCTTATATATTTACATTTATTCTCCATGTGTTTGTCTTAATTATTGCATGGATTTGTTACGACTGCAAAAGGGGGTAGCTCTCTGCCTTTCCTGTTGTATAAAAGTAGCTCTGATTGAAAGGTTTTAGACCACTGATCTAGGTCTCTGCAAGTTCTGAACATCTACAGTCGCCTAAACACAAGGATTATAGGTCCTACCCCCGGTCAGTCCTACCCCCGGTCAGTCCTACCCCCGGTCAGTCCTACCCCCGGTCAGTCCTACCCCCGGTCAGATACCAGAGTGAGTGAATGAAAAGCAGAGGCCGGTGCTGTAGTAAAGAACATTTATTCATTCCAGAGCAGAGTTTAGCTGGAGCCCTGTTTGGCGGCCAGCCTCTTGTCTCTCTCCTCAGCGATGGTCAGACGGATGCCCTTTCCTCTGGGCACGGACACCCACGGCTTTGTGCCCTGCGGAGAGAAGAGAGGTGAGGTCTGTGTAATGTGGGGAGTGGGAGGAACACCAAAGCCATTGGCAAATAAAAACAAGTGTAAAAGTAATTGAATGGAATTAGATTTTAGTGGTAATCTAAATAAAATGAATCAGTAACCATGGTTATATAATGTATTTGTATTGATATCATGCATCTTTACAGACCAAGGTCAGCCAAATATTTTACAATATTGTTCCATTCTGAGGCGAACACACCGGACCATCAAAGCCCAACACCATCTAGTCACTCATTACATTCAGACCTATTGTACAATTGTTATTTTAGTGGTAGGGGATACTAGAGCCCCTGGAGGAAACTTACGCACACAGGGAGAACATGTTAACTACTCAGTAACTACTGTTCTCACTGAACCACTCAGCCATCGAGTAGACTAACCTAATCCATCATCTTACAGGTGTGTGGAGGAGCTCAGAACACCGGAGTTATATTGTTTCAGTACAGATCAAAACACATTTTCAGACTAAAAATTCAAGGAATAAAAACCTCCGGACCAGTCACCAGAATTGTTGACGACCGGACTCTGTTTCAGACTGGTCTGACAACCGAGGTCTGGTCTGTACCCCCTGTGCTCCTAAATGCATCTGCTGGCCTGGTCTCAGTTTCCATGGTTACATTGCACCAAACACTTCTCACTTCAATCACAGCATGGATTTACACGAGTCTGGTATTATATTAGATTAAGATTCTCAGTTTTGTAAATGTTTTAACAATAGAGCGGTAGATTACCTTTCCGATCACAAAGATGTTTCCCAGCCTGGTGGCAAAGCTGTTTCCTGACGTGTCCTTCACATGAACCACGTCGAAGGATCCAGGATGGCGCTCTCTGTTGGTGATCACGCCGATACGCCCCAAGTTAGCTCCTCCGGTCACCATGCACAGGTTTCCTACAGGGGGCAACAGAGAGCTCAGCCTGCAGCATGTGACAGCAGCAAAATCTAAAGACTAGTTTCAGTTTTCTTTTAACTATGGTAAGTGTCAAAATAGATCAATTTCTCCCCATTTCCAGAAAAATCCACTTGAAACAATTAGTCCAAGTTCCACATTTATATCAGAACGCATCAACTGCAGTCTCGTTCTCACAAGTTTCTAGACTCGTTCTCAAAAGTCTAGAAGCCGTGACAATTTTGAAAAACATGCATGATGTCGGCCAGTAGAAAGAACTTCCAGACATAAGAATATGGCAGATTTGTGAATCTAAAAAAAATAGTCGGGGAAAATACTTAATTTTCCTCTAAAACCAGACAGAAGCAGCGTACAGGACATTTTGGCTCACATGAACAGGACTCACCGGTGTCAAACTTGATGAAGTCTGTGATCTTGGCGGTCTCCAGGTCAATCCTCACCGTGTCGTTGACCTTGATCAGGGGGTCTGGGTAGCGGATGGTGCGGGCGTCGTGGGTAACAAGGTGAGGGATGCCTTTGGTTCCGATCATAATCTTCTTCACTTTACACAGTTTGTACTGAAACCACAAACACCGGACATGAGCCCAATGTTTCCATATAAACTGAGCAGGTGACAATAGTGCTGCTGAACACAAACTAAAACGCAGCAAAAACTCCTTCCCCTGTTCTGAACTGCCCTCAGAAAAAAAAAAAATCACAACTGTCATTTTTCGGTTTTCTCGTTAAAATCCATTAATTTCCTTCCGCATTATCTGCTGATGAAAGCAGTCTGAGCAGAGACTACCATCTGGGGGAATCCTGAGGCGTTCCCAGGAGATCCCGCCAACGTGTTCTGGTCTTCCCCCGGTCGTCCCAAAGATGTCAGAGCCACCTCAACACAGAAGCAGCGGCTCTATTTTGAGTTCTTCACTCCATCTCTGGGGTAAACTCATGTAGAAAACTTATCGCTCTGCCATCATGGTTTGGTTTAAATAAAATAGTAACAAGACTCCACAGATGTAACGGATATTTTGATTTATGAAAGTTAAAGCTGCACTAACTGACTTTGGGATTTTGAAGCCGCGGACTCTCTGGCCTCGCCCTTTCTGCTCCCCTCCCCGCACCCACGAAGCTATCGCCCCCCAGACACAACCACTGTTGTTGACGAAGCTAGTGTCTCCCAATATGGATAATACATGGACATGGATTTGCACGTGGATGGCGTGACCATAGAACGATAGAACCGGGAAACGCGGAGGAATGGGACTTTCTTTTGGATGGCTGTCTCGCTGTGTAAGCAGTAACCGGTGACGAAGACGAGTAAGTTTCAGATTAGCTCCTCGGCTAGTTGTGCTAACTCAGACGTCTTTGCTAACGGACCTGTAGATTTCTCACGAAAGTGGGGGCTAGTGGTGCGCTGTGAATTGTCACAATCAGAGACCCGAAACACATTCTCTTCCTTGTTTCATCAAAACTCAATCTAAAATATAACGACACGTCAGCACAAATCTGCGCTACTTTTTCTTCAAAGGGACGTTATATCCCGATGCACTACATGGACAGCACTTTTGTAATGAATACAAAAGTAAAGTCAGATTGTGCAGGTTTAAGACAAATCAGGACATTTAGATTGAAGCCAGGAACCCTCCACAAGACAGCTTTAGTCAACATGTGTTTTTGCACAGCCCATAATCAGCCATGAAGGGCCTTGATGGCTTTTCTAATCTGTTGGAAAACTTTCTTGTTGAAGGAGCTCAGAACTTCTTAGAGGATAGTTTGGTTGTTTCATCACAGATCAAACACCAGAGTCATCATTGCTCCAGAATCCACATTTTAGTCTCCTGGTGATTTCACCGCTGCCAAGAGGCACAGTATCGCTACTTGATGAATCCATGTTCTTTTACAATCAAGACCAAAAACATGAGCACCAAGTCCAAAGTGAAAGCCTGAACCCAGAGTCAGCTCATGCTCATATTTCCTGAACATTCCTCCTGAAGGGTATTTGAGTGAGGCTGCTCTGACAAACTCTGGTGGTGACTTCACCTCCTGAGGAGAGTCACATGTAAAACCTCAGATGCAGCTGAGGTTTAGCTTCAAGACTGTTATTTCTATCTGTAGTGGATGAAGTCTAAAGTCAGATCACAAACACAATGTCCTCCAGAATCACGAAAGTCTAAGAAATCATCTAAAGCTCCATCAAACCTGAGCAATTTCTCCGTTTAAACCATAGAAAACTTAAAATTAAACGGACAGTCACGCCTATTTTCGCCGTTCTAACTAATGGGCCAGAAATAGTGCTCTGCTGGAGCAATCCAAAATGGCCGCGAGTGGTCCCGCCCACAAGAAAATTGTGAAAAAACGCATCTGCGCATGCGTCAGCCAGCGAGAGCTCCATTCATTTGAACGAGAGATTTCAAAGATTCACAGCGAGTAAACTAGAGTGGACCAAAGAAATCCACCCCCCTCAGCGTTGACACACATGTGGAACGGAGCTTTGGGCCAAGAGCCAACTTTTGGTCCATCCTGTAAAGACGTTTGAGAGGTCTGTTAATGCTATACGTTAGCATTGGCTAATTCTTCCTCTGGGTCCACCCCCACAGGCCCGGGGTGGTATTGCAGCACGTCCGGAACCCGCCCCCACTGGTTTAAACATGTGTTACTCTCACCTTTGCCTCCTCAGCTGTGATGCGGTGCACCGTGAATCGTCCTTTAACGTCGTAGATCAGACGGAAATGCTCTCCAGTCTTCTCAATGCTGATCACATCTGAAGAATAACAAATTCAGATGAGAACAGTGTAGATCAGCAGTTTGTGTATAAATGTAGAACACGAGACAAACTAATAAACATGTGGATCAGTAAGGTCTTATTGAGCTCAGAACTTCTTAGAGGATTCAGAGTTTATTTCAGCTCAAAATCAAAACACAAAGTCATCATAGCTCAGGCAAAAACTGATGGGCCGACTTTAGATCCAAGTCAGATCATAAAAGATGCCAGTGTGAGGCTCAGATATTTAACATTAAGTGAAGGAGAAAGCGTCGGTCACGGTCCACTACGAGTGGAAATCAGCTCGAGCTAAAACCTTTGAGGTTAATGTTTATTGTGCACTGTCACTTTAAATACACTAAACTTTATCATCACTGGATTCTGCTCCAGGACTCAGACATTTATGAACATTGGTCATTGCTCCTCTTGGACCAATGGTGTTTTTCCATTGCATTTCCTGTATTGTCACCGTTTGATTCTCTGATCTGTGTTGGCAGATCAGTTAAGTCCTGAGAACGACTAAATTAAAACTAGACAGCATTTGTGACATGAAGCAATTACTGCAAGTGAGAATTGGGTGTGATGATTCCATGTTCCGACACTCATCCACTGTCACATTTTTATCCCGTTTTTTTCTCACATTTCAAAAGATTATGAATGAAACAAACCCTTCCCTCGTTGAGCAGAGAAAAATAACTGTTCTCTCCATACAATTAGGTAAGAAACTCCTCTGATCCAGATCATAAGTCTCCATCCCCGAGTTCAACCACATGTAGCCTTTGAGGGTGCAGTTACTCTACATTCTTGGGCAACCGTCCATGAATTGCACATGTCAGACTTCCACAGCCAGGCTCAATGATATCAGCGGAAAATTGATGAGTTTGCAGTTTCATAATCTCTAAATTAGCCCAAATATGAAAAAATGGAATCTGGCTGTGTGTGCGAACTGCAGGTGTGACCCGGGACGTACCCATGAACCCGGCGGGGTAGGTGATGTCTGTGCGGACTTTGCCGTCGATCTTGATGAACCGCTGCATACAGATCTTTTTAACCTCGTCTCCGGTCAGAGCGTACTTCAGGCGGTTACGGAGGAAGATGATGAGGGGCAGACACTCCCTCAGTTTGTGTGGACCGGTGGACGGACGCGGAGCCTGGAACAAGACCAGACGTCAGAGATCTTGGGAAATGTTTAGTAGTGAACCAGGGAACAATTAGCACAAGGACTTCCAGAATTCACAAACTCAAAAACTCCCAGAGCAGTCGTTTTGACAGCTCACATTAAAATTAATGGAATACTACAGTTTTAGGTTCCCTCATGTAATTACTGGTAAGTAATAAGTACTGGCAAGTAATTCAGAGGAAAAAGTCAAAGACCATAAACGTAACTAAGCTAAATGGTACACTTCCAGAATGAAAAGCGGTCAAATGGGACTGCTGTGGGAATTCTTGGGTTAAAGTAGAGAGATGCAACTAGTCTCATAACCGCGTTTATCCCACAAAGTACATGAATAAAATCAGACCATGACATACGGTCTAAAAACCAGAAAACATGTCATATTTAGTGAAGGCATGAGCCCTGAGAGCCACCATCACTCTTTGGCCTGAGAGCTTTTAATCCACTCACTGTCTGTACCTGATCTAAAAGTACACAGATGTTAACTTATGACAGCAGCAAATGTAGAATAAAAGACCCATTGATGTGGATTTTTTTTTTTTACGTAGTTCAACTGTGGTGGTTTGAAAGTTACGGACCCGAACTTTAAATAAAACTGCAAATCCTGGTAGAAAGAAAAGCATTGCACTCACGAAGACTCCGGTGAGTTTGTCCAGCATCCAGTGCTTGGGCGCCGCCACACGCTTCAGGTGCTTCTTCGGTCCTCTCGCCTGGATCAACAATTAACAACAATCAGAACAGAACTGGCACACAGTGGGAGAATACATGATAATCACGGGAATCAGTGTGAGGCAGGAATGAGAGCAGGGTCTGTCAAAGCGTGGATGTAGCCGCGTTAGCTGCGAATGCTAACAAGACAAGTCTGACCACAGCGTGAATTAAGAACTATGGATATATTTATGCAGACAAGACAAAGTGTGCATGTGTGCTTTTTAGGCAGTTTAAACATGTGTTCACGCGTAAACTGGTAAGAAATAGACACAAAGTGACACCAGCACGAATTTAGTAGACACCCATCTCCAGCCGCGTTAGCCAGAGGGGAGCTAGCTTACACCGGGAACATGTCACTTTACTGCCCCAATAAACACGCACCATCGCGGGTTACTTTGGATAATTTTGGCGCAGACTCGTTCTCAAGGCCCGGGAGTGTGTGGATGTGTGGATGGACCGGGCATAAGGGCCGTGATTTAACGGATGTTTGAGGATGATCTCCGGGTGTAAAGACAGAAGCGCTGCTCACCATGATGGAGTCTGCAGGAAAAGGACGCTAAAGGACCCGGATGTCAGCGATAAAGAGGCGGACGGAGGCGCGCAGGGACAAAACACATGAAGAGCGATTCATGCTATTTACATCAGTTGTTTATGTGTTAAATATACACATGATTAATATAATTTTCTTTATAATACCTTAAATAATCCATTAATTATTTATAATTGGATATGAATAGACATGGGTAGCGCCACCTATATGTGAAAACCAGATCCTGAAAGACCTGAGAAGCTAAGCAGGGCAGATCCTCGTCAGTACCGTGATGGGAGACCTCTGGGAACACCAGGGGCCACAGTGGGACGTCTCCGGTCGTAAAGTGCCAAACAGTCATTGTAAATAAGTCATCTTTATTTCTATAGCGCATTTTTACCGACCAAGGTCTCCCAAAGTTCAGATATTGTGTCCTTAGGCAAGTCACATCCCCCTCATTGTGTTTTGTGTGTGTTGCTGGTATTCTGCCCCAGGACAGGTGACACAGTAGTAATAGTCACCACTGTGTAGTGTGTACTGAATTAACAAGTATTAATTTATTTATTGATAAAATATTTGATTTATTTATATTTGTAAATATAAATAAATCTTAAACTAATAATAAAAAGTGGAGACAATAATTCAAGTGGGAAAAATACATTATTAAAATGGCAATAAAACATTTCAGGATAATATTACAGGAGTAAAAAAAATCTAACTGAATTTATCAATTTTTTAAATAAATCAGGGAACACTGAAAAGTGGGTTCCTCAGAAGTTACTAACCCCAGCTTTAAATATAAATCGTCTAATAAAAAAAACATTTCCTTTTGTTTGATTTTATCTTTGAGAAGTAGGGTATGGAAGTATTTATTGTGTTTCCACCAATAGGAAGCAGTTTGTGAAAAGTGAGTTTGTTGAACATGTTTTATCGGAGGAATTTTAAGAAATGTTGACATCACAAAATATGAAATACAGGACATTTTATTCTTATATTTACAGGTTAAAAAGTCAGAATGAAATGGAATGAACAGAATTATAATGTACAGCTTATAAAAGAGGACAGCGTTTATCCACAAAGACTTTATACAGTTGGACATGGTTCAAACATGGTTCAGACCTGGTTCAGACCTGGTTCAGACCTGGTTCAGACCTGGTTCAGACCTGGTTCAGACCTGGTTCAGACCTGGGACAGACCTGGTTCAGACCTGGTTCAGACCAGAAAGCAGAGACCAGGACCTCATTGAATCTCCTAAACCACATTCTTCAGATTCCCTGTGGACACAAAGAGAAAGAGGTGATTGTAGAAGAAAGTCTTGGTTTGGACCTGGTGTAGACCAGGTTTGGACTGGGTTTAGACCGGGTTTAGACTCGGTTTAGACCGGGTTTGGACTGGGTTTAGACCGGGTTTGGACTGGGTTTAGATCTGGTGTAGACCGGGGTTATACTAGGTTTCAGAGCACGTTTACAGGTGTCCTCTTTATGAGCCAGTCTGGTCTCTGTCCTCGTTAGGAGCGGCTATGGTCCTATAGGTCCTACAGGCTCACAGTAGTCCTAGTGCAGTCTTGGTCTTTGCAGGTTAAAACAGACCTTTGATGGTGGACAGGACGTTCTCCAGATGTTTGGAATCGTTCCGATCGGGTCGACAACTCGGGCTGATCTCCAGGGAGTAATCCGGGCCATACTCTGTGAAGAACTGGGACCAGGAAGTGTGAAAGATCAGGACCAAGAACGCAACAAGTGCAGAAGGATCAGAACCAAATGTGTGCAACAGCGCCCCCTAAAGAGCAAATACTTTATTGTTATTTTTATTGTGGAATACTGTGAAAGCTACTGTGACAACGGACTTTCCCTTCAGTAGAGTTGTTATAAGTCTAAATACATCTCACCAGTTAGAAATATGGAAATAGGTGAAACAAAAAATGGTGTAAGATAAGCTAAAGATGAGAGAAAGATGGTGAAGTTGACGATCAGGGGATGTTTAGTACCTCGTGGTCAGGGATCTCCGATGAAAGAGTTTTCCCCAAAACTGCCGCAGTGAGAAATGTCCAACAGCGCGCGGTGTTGGCGAGATTATAACCTCCTGCAGAGAGAGGACTAGGATTAAAATATAACCAGAAGAGAGAGGACTATGAAGGTCAGACACAGGAGGGTACAGTCGTCCCTCGTTCAAATAAATATAAAAGAAATGTTTCTAGAAACAACCCACAATAAAAGAAAGCCTTAAGTTTTAATGGTGTGTGTTTTAAGACCCTCACCACACACTACTGTATATACACACCAGAGAGAGACCAGAGAGAGAGACCAGAGAGAGAGACCAGAGAGAGAGACCAGAGATAGACCAGAGAGAGACCAGAGAGAAACCAGAGAGAGACCAGAGAGAGAGACCAGAGAGAGACCAGAGATAGACCAGAGAGAGAGACCAGAGAGAGACCAGAGAGAGACCAGAGATAGACCAGAGATAGACCAGAGAGAGAGACCAGAGAGAGACCAGAGATAGACCAGAGATAGACCAGAGAGAGACCAGAGAGAGACCAGAGAGAGAGACCAGAGAGAGACCAGAGATAGACCAGAGATAGACCAGAGAGAGACCAGAGAGAGAGACCAGAGAGAGACCAGAGAGAGACCAGAGAGAGAGACCAGAGAGAGACCAGAGATAGACCAGAGATAGACCAGAGAGAGACCAGAGAGAGAGACCAGAGAGAGACCAGAGAGAGACCAGAGATAGACCAGAGAGAGACCAGAGAGAGACCAGAGAGAGAGACCAGAGAGAGACCAGAAAGAGAGACCAGAGATAGACCAGAGAGAGACCAGAGAGAGAGACCAGAGATAGACCAGAGAGAGACCAGAGATAGACCAGAGAGAGACCAGAGAGAGAGACCAGAGAGAGACCAGAGAGAGACCAGAGAGAGACCAGAGAGAGACCAGAGAGAGAGACCAGAGAGAGACCAGAGGGAGACCAGAGAGACCAGAAAGAGAGACCAGAAAGAGAGACCAGAGATAGACCAGAGAGAGAGACCAGAGAGAGACCAGAAAGAGAGACCAGAGAGAGAGACTAGAGAGAGACCAGAAAGAGAGACCAGAGAGAGACCAGAAAGAGAGACCAGAAAGAGAGACCAGAGAGAGACCAGAGAAAGAGACCAAAGAGAGACCAGAGAAAGAGACCAGAGAAAGACCAGAGAAAGACCAGAGAAAGAGACCAAAGAGAGACCAGAGAGAGAGACCTCTCTCTCTCACCTCCCCCTCCTCTCTCATTCACCTTATCCTAATCCTCCTCCCTGGCTCACCTCCTTCTCCTCCTCCTCCCTCGCTCGCTCACCTCCTCCTCCCTCGCTCGCTCACCTCCTCCTCCCTCGCTCGCTCACCTCCTCTTCCCTCGCTCGCTCACCTCCTCCTCCCTCGCTCGCTCACCTCCTCCTCCCTCGCTCGCTCGCTCACCTCCTCCTCCCTCCCTCACCTCCCCCTCCTCATCCCTCGCTCACCTCCTCCCAGCAGCAGCGTGGGCAGTTTCCTCTGGAGCACATACAGCAGACAGCGGGACACTCCCACTGGGGTCATGTTGAAGCAGCACATGGGGTCTCCGGCCATAGTGTCGGCCCCCAGCTGCATCACCACCGCCTCCGGGTTAAATGTGGAGAACACCTCCTGGAGGACGCTGCAAAACACAAATCAATTATTACCTCCATTTTTTTCCGCTGCATTTGTTCCCAGATACATTTACCAATATAAACTCCATCCATCCATCCATTTTCTTCCCTTTAATCCATTTCTGGGTCAGGGGGGTGGCAGTCAGAGATGCCACCCAAGTCTCATAGCACCAGCCCCTCACTGACCCTCTGCAGGTGGTGAGTCCACAGGAGGACGGCTGCTCTCTGAGAGTGAGCATAGCCTTGATCTTTCAGTGGGGGCTTTTTGGGCAAAGTGGGGTTAAGTGTCTTGCCCAAGGACACAACGACAGCAGTCATCAGTGGGAGTCGGTGGAGAAGGTGCAGAGGTGGGAATTGAACCCACGACCTTCAGGCCTGAAGGCCAACGCTCTACCAACTGAGCTACTGTCGCCCCCAATATAAACTCAATAAGTACAATAACTGTAACCATTTGTCAGTTGTAACATTCATCCGCTCTAACCCACGTGGAGCCTGTTCCACTGTCGCAAGCTCCTCCCACTGTCACAGGCTCCTCCCACTGTCACAGGCTCCTCCCATTCTCACAGGCTCCTCCCACTGTCACAGGCTCCTCCCAGATAGATGTTATTCCTTCAGTATTCCATGAACTAGAGAACAGTGACGTCTACTAGAGCCAACGGAGTGAACTTAATATTCCAAACATGTATTAGTAAATGTATTGTATTACGTTTATTACTACTGTTTTCAGAGACCATTCCTTCAGACCTGGTAAAGACCCGGTAAAGACCTAGTAAAGACCTGGTAAAGGCCTGCTCCCGCTGCTCTCAGAGACCAGTCCTTCAGACCTGGTACAGACCTGGTCCTACTGCTCTCAGAGACCAGTCCTTCAGACCTGGTAAAGGCCTGCTCCCGCTGCTCTCAGAGACCAGTCCTTCAGACCTGGTAAAGGCCTGCTCCCGCTGCTCTCAGAGACCAGTCCTTCAGACCTGGTACAGACCTGGTGAAGACCTGGTAGTAGCGGTCGTCCTGGATGCCGTCCTCCATGGGCACATTCACTGCGTACCACCGGCCTTTCCCCAAACCGGTGTCACTCACATCTCCGGTCCCTGAAACACAGGAGTGAGCATCATGTGACCTAAGCACAGGCAGAACAATCATCATGTGACCTTAGCACAGGCGGAACAATCATCATGTGACCTAAGCACAGGCAGAACAATCATCATGTGACCTTAGCACAGGCGGAACAATCATCATGTGACCTAAGCACAGGCAGAACAATCATCATGTGACCTAAGCACAGGCAGAACAATCATCATGTGACCTAAGCACAGGCAGAACAATCATCATGTGACCTTAGCACAGGCAGAACAATCATCATGTGACCTTAGCACAGGCAGAACAATCATCATGTGACCTTAGCACAGGCAGAACAATCATCATGTGACCTAAGCACAGGCAGAACAATCATCATGTGACCTTAGCACAGGCAGAACAATCATCATGTGACCTTAGCACAGGCAGAACAATCATCATGTGACCTTAGCACAGGCAGAACAATCATCATGTGACCTAAGCACAGGCAGAACAATCATCATGTGACCTTAGCACAGGCAGAACAATCATCATGTGACCTTAGCACAGGCAGAACAATCATCATGTGACCTTAGCACAGGCAGAACAATCATCATGTGACCTAAGCACAGGCAGAACAATCATCATGTGACCTAAGCACAGGCAGAACAATCATCATGTGACCTAAGCACAGGCAGAACAATCATCATGTGACCTTAGCACAGGCAGAACAATCATCATGTGACCTTAGCACAGGCAGAACAATCATCATGTGACCTTAGCACAGGCAGAACAATCATCATGTGACCTAAGCACAGGCAGAACAATCATCATGTGACCTAAGCACAGGCAGAACAATCATCATGTGACCTAAGCACAGGCAGAACAATCATGACAAGGCAAGTTTATTTGTATAGCACAGTTCATACAGAAGGCAACACAAAGCGCTGAACAAAACAAGATCGAAACCCATACAAGGCATTAAAAGAGTGAAGATAAAATCCATCAGTTGAAGCACAGATAAACAAAGCCGTTTTTAATCTGGATTGGAACACTGTCAGAGAAGAAGCCTGTCTCACATTTTAGGGAAGATTATTGCAGATATTAGCGTCATGTGACCCAGCACAGGCCTCATATTAGTTAGATAGATACTTTATTGATCCCTGTAGGAGAAATTCAGGTGTGCAGTAGCAGCAAAAACACATCCATCCAAACAAACAAAACAAAATATTGATAATTTTAAAAAGCTAGCCTGGTCGTACCACACCATAGTACAAATGACATTTCAGAGCTCCGTGAACAGGTGGGAGGGGTTAACTCCTTTTACAGATTAAAACAATTGGACCTGAGTTTACCGTGACGTATGTAATGCGCCCGAGTGTGTTGTTAGCATTTAGCATTTAGCCTGGCCATCTCCTTTGCCGCTAACGGAGCCTGTGGGGAGCAGCGCCACAATTACATTTGCTAAACATTACCCTTGCTCCGACTTCAATTTCTTGATAGAACCAGACCGGATTACTTCACTATCACATTCTCCGCCATTACCAAACTACAACCTGCCTGTTAGACACAAACTCTTGATGTCACCCACAACTAACTACAACACCCGCCTCCCGCGCTCTCTGAACGGTCGGTTGAAATCATGGATCTATAATAACTGGATAGGGTATTACTAGCTTGTAGCTGAATAACTCATGTGCTCGGGAGATTCTCGCGGTACTGCAGACTGAACCAGACTAAATTCAAGAAATTTTCCCCATAGAACTCAATGCATATTAAAACAGCTCAACCTCAGCTGACAGAGAACCTGACAGAGAACCTCCAGCTTTAATAAAGGTCGGATTTTGTGGGGATTTTAGTGTCCCTTGTCATCCTGAACTTTTTTTCTTCTTAAATCCTTCGGTTTTGTTTAAATCCACACTTTAGTGCCACAAACTCTGCTCCTCTGGCTCTCGCTCTAACTCCCGCTCTGATGAACTGCTCTGATTGGTCAGAGCGCGGCCGAGCCCCTCTGTGCACGTGCGTGAGACCCGGTGTGAGACCCACACACGCGTGTTTGGCGCAACGCATTATGGGAGATCATCCACTGCACAGAACCGGGAGGACCAGACGATGCCCAAATAGAGGAGAGTTTCCCATAGATCTTTGCGAGTTTCAGGCAACTTCCGCTAATCTTTCAGCCCCCATGCTGTCACAAAGCGCCATTGAGGACAAACATTCATTTGAATACGGCGCCATCTTGGATCGCCGGGGCTTGGTTGAAATTCAACTGATTGTAATCGCTAACACAGGGACCAGACCCAGACATTACATGCAGTGAAATGATGATTGAACGGAGAGTACAGATGGCTAAGGCCAGGCTACTAAAAAGCTAACAATAGTAATAATAAGAAACAACAGTTCAGGTCACAGCAGAGGTGGAGCAGCCTCTGGGTGGAGCAGGACGGGTCACAGCAGCAGAGGTGGAGCAGCCTCTGGGTGGAGCAGGACGGGTCACAGCAGAGGTGGAGTAGCCTCTGGGTGGAGCAGGACGGGTCACAGCAGAGGTGGAGTAGCCTCTGGGTGGAGCAGGACGGGTCACAGCAGAGGTGGAGTAGCCTCTGGGTGGAGCAGGACGGGTCACAGCAGAGGTGGAGCAGCCTCTGGGTGGAGCAGGACGGGTCACAGCAGAGGTGGAGCAGCCTCTGGGTGGAGCAGGACGGGTCACAAGGTGGAGCAGCCACTTGGTTCGGACTATCTCTAGTCCAAAGTAAAATGCTGAATGCTTCATTAGCATTTTTCAGAAAGTTAGCATTCCTCCTGTGGATTTTCGACTGATCCACTTGACCATGAATCCTCTCTGCTCTGGTATAATGTGGGTATAACTGAATTCACATGAGGGAATCGGATGAGAAAACATAAAACAGTTTCTAAAAAGAGATATAACTAAGGGGGTGCCGGAAGAACCACTCCACCCAGCGGCATACGGGGCACACACCTGGGAAGAATCCAGGAGAAAACTTGTGCAGAGAAACGGTCATGACTTTGGACGTGAAGCTGAAGGCGTCTTCAACACCTGCGGAAACAGAAGCAGAGAAGAGCTGTTTTAACTGAAGCGACTGAAGCAGAGAAGAGCTGTTTTAACTGAAGCGACTGAAGCAGAGAAGAGCTGTTTTAACTGAAGCGACTGAAGCAGAGAAGAGCTGTTTTAACTGAAGCGACTGAAGCAGAGAAGAGCTGTTTTCACTGAAGCGACTGAAGCAGAGAAGAGCTGTTTTAACTGAAGTGACTGAAGCAGAGAAGAGCTGTTTTAACTGAAACGACTGAAGCAGAGAAGAGCTGTTTTAACTGAAGCGACTGAAGCAGAGAAGAGCTGTTTTAACTGAAGCGACTGAAGCAGAGAAGAGCTGTTTTAACTGAAGTGACTGAAGCAGAGAAGAGCTGTTTTAACTGAAACGACTGAAGCAGAGAAGAGCTGTTTTAACTGAAGCGACTGAAGCAGAGAAGAGCTGTTTTAACTGAAGCGACTGAAGCAGAGAAGAGCTGTTTTAACTGAAGCGACTGAAGCAGAGAAGAGCTTTTTTAACTGAAGCGACTGAAGCAGAGAAGAGCTGTTTTAACTGAAGCGACTGAAGCAGAGAAGAGCTGTTTTCACTGAAGCGACTGAAGCAGAGAAGAGCTGTTTTAACTGAAGTGACTGAAGCAGAGAAGAGCTGTTTTAACTGAAACGACTGAAGCAGAGAAGAGCTGTTTTAACTGAAGCGACTGAAGCAGAGACGAGCTGTTTTAACTGAAGAGACTGAAGCAGAGAAGAGCTGTTTTAACTGAAGTGACTGAAGCAGAGAAGAGCTGTTTTAACTGAAACGACTGAAGCAGAGAAGAGCTGTTTTAACTGAAACGACTGAAGCAGAGAAGAGCTGTTTATACTGAAACGACTGAAGCAGAGACGAGCTGTTTTAACTGAAGCAACTGAAGCAGAGAAGAGCTGTTTTCACTGAAGCAACTGAAGCAGAGAAGAGCTGTTTTAACGGAAGCGACTGAAGCAGAGAAGGGCTGTTTTAACTGAAGCAACTGAAGCAGAGAAGAGCTGTTTTCACTGAAGCGACTGAAGCAGAGAAGAGCTGCTTTAACTGAAGCGACTGAAGCAGAGAAGAGATGTTTTAACTGAAGAGACTGAAGCAGAGACGAGCTGTTTTAACGGAAGCGACTGAAGCAGAGACGAGCTGTTTTAACTGAAACGACTGAAGCAGAGAAGAGCTGTTTTAACTTAAACGACTGAAGCAGAGACGAGCTGTTTTAACGGAAGCGACTGAAGCAGAGAAGAGCTGTTTTAACTGAAGCGACTGAAGACAGAGAAGGGCTGTTTTAACTGAAGCGACTGAAGCAGAGAAGAGCTGTTTTCACTGAAGCGACTGAAGCAGAGAAGAGCTGTTTTAACTGAAGCGACTGAAGCAGAGAAGAGCTGTTTTAACTGAAGCGACTGAAGCAGAGAAGAGCTGTTTTAACTGAAGCAACTGAAGCAGAGAAGAGCTGTTTTAACTGAAGCGACTGAAGCAGAGAAGAGCTGTTTTCACTGAAGCGACTGAAGCAGAGAAGAGCTGCTTTAACTGAAGCGACTGAAGCAGAGAAGAGCTGTTTTAACTGAAGCGACTGAAGCAGAGAAGAGCTGTTTTAACTGAAGAGACTGAAGCAGAGACGAGCTGTTTTAACGGAAGCGACTGAAGCAGAGAAGAGCTGTTTTAACTGAAACGACTGAAGCAGAGAAGAGCTGCTTTAACTGAAACGACTGAAGCAGAGAAGAGCTGTTTTCACTGAAGCGACTGAAGCAGAGAAGAGCTGCTTTAACTGAAGCGACTGAAGCAGAGAAGAGCTGTTTTCACTGAAGCGACTGAAGCAGAGAAGAGCTGTTTTCACTGAAGCGACTGAAGCAGAGAAGAGCTGCTTTAACTGAAGCGATTGAAGCAGAGAAGAGCTGTTTTAACTGAAGCGACTGAAGCAGAGAAGAGCTGTTTTAACTGAAGCGACTGAAGCAGAGAAGAGCTGTTTTAACTGAAGCGATTGAAGCAGAGAAGAGCTGTTTTAACTGAAGCGACTGAAGCAGAGACGAGCTGTTTTAACTGAAGAGACTGAAGCAGAGAAGAGCTGTTTTAACTGAAGTGACTGAAGCAGAGAAGAGCTGTTTTAACTGAAGCGACTGAAGCAGAGAAGAGCTGCTTTTAACTGAAGCGACTGAAGCAGAAAAGAACTGTTTTAACTGAAGCGACTGAAGCAGAGAAGAGCTGTTTTAACTGAAGCGATTGAAGCAGAGAAGAGCTGTTTTAACTGAAGCGACTGAAGCAGAGAAGAGCTGTTTTAACTGAAGCGACTGAAGCAGAGAAGAGCTGTTTTAACTGAAGCGACTGAAGGAAAGTAGAGAAGAGCTGTTTTAACTGAAGCGACTGAAGCAGAGAAGGGCTGTTTTAACTGAAGCGACTGAAGCAGAGAAGAGCTGTTTTAACTGAAGCGACTGAAGCAGTGAAGAGCTGTTTTAACTGAAGCGACTGAAGCAGAGAAGAGCTGTTTTAACTGAAGCGACTGAAGCAGACAAGAACTGTTTTAACTCAAGCGACTGAAGCAGAGAAGAGCTGTTTTAACTGAAGCGACTGAAGCAGAGAAGAGCTGTTTTAACTGAAGCGACTGAAGCAGAGAAGAGCTGTTTTCACTGAAGCGACTGAAGCAGAGAAGACTGTTTTAACTGAAGCGACTGAAGCAGAGAAGAGCTGTTTTAACTGAAGCGACTGAAGCAGAGAAGAGCTGTTTTAACTGAAGCGACTGAAGCAGAGAAGAGCTGTTTTAACTGAAGCGACTGAAGCCGGGAAGAGCTGTTTTAACTGAAGCGACTGAAGCAGAGAAGAGCTGTTTTAACTGAAGCGACTGAAGCAGAGAAGAGCTGTTTTAACTGAAGCGACTGAAGCAGAGAAGAACTGTTTTAACTCAAGCGACTGAAGCAGAGAAGAGCTGTTTTAACTGAAGCGACTGAAGCAGAGAAGAGCTGTTTTAACTGAAGCGACTGAAGCAGAGAAGAGCCGTTTTAACTGAAGCGACTGAAGCAGAGAAGAGCTGTTTTAACTGAAGCGACTGAAGCAGAGAAGAGCTGTTTTAACTGAAGCGACTGAAGCAGAGAGGAGCTGTTTTAACTGAAGCGACTGAAGCAGAGAAGAGCTGTTTTAACTGAAGCGACTGAAGCAGAGAAGAGCTGTTTTAACTGAAGCAGAGAAGAGCTGTTTTAACTGAAGCGACTGAAGCAGAGAAGAGCTGTTTTAACTGAAGCGACTGAAGCAGAGAAGAGCTGTTTTAACTGAAGCGACTGAAGCAGAGAAGAGCTGTTTTAACTGAAGCGACTGAAGCAGAGAAGAGCTGTTTTAACTGAAACGACTGAAACAGAGAAGAGCTGTTTTAACTGAAGCAACTGAAGCAGAGAAGAGCTGTTTTAACTGAAGCGACTGAAGCAGAGAAGAGCTGTTTTAACTGAAGCGACTGAAGCAGAGAAGAGCTGCTTTAACTGAAGCGACTGAAGCAGAGAAGAGCTTTTTTAACTGAAGCGACTGAAGCAGAGAAGAGCTGTTTTAACTGAAGAGACTGAAGCAGAGACGAGCTGTTTTAACGGAAGCGACTGAAGCAGAGAAGAGCTGTTTTAACTGAAACGACTGAAGCAGAGAAGAGCTGCTTTAACTGAAACGACTGAAGCAGAGAAGAGCTGTTTTCACTGAAGCGACTGAAGCAGAGAAGAGCTGCTTTAACTGAAGCGACTGAAGCAGAGAAGAGCTGTTTTCACTGAAGCGACTGAAGCAGAGAAGAGCTGTTTTCACTGAAGCGACTGAAGCAGAGAAGAGCTGCTTTAACTGAAGCGATTGAAGCAGAGAAGAGCTGTTTTAACTGAAGCGACTGAAGCAGAGAAGAGCTGTTTTAACTGAAGCGACTGAAGCAGAGAAGAGCTGTTTTAACTGAAGCGACTGAAGCAGAGAAGAGCTGTTTTAACTGAAGCGACTGAAGCAGAGAAGAGCTGTTTTAACTGAAACGACTGAAACAGAGAAGAGCTGTTTTAACTGAAGCGACTGAAGCAGAGACGAGCTGTTTTAACTGAAGAGACTGAAGCAGAGAAGAGCTGTTTTAACTGAAGTGACTGAAGCAGAGAAGAGCTGTTTTAACTGAAGCGACTGAAGCAGAGAAGAGCTGTTTTAACTGAAGCGATTGAAGCAGAGAAGAGCTGTTTTAACTGAAGCGACTGAAGCAGAGAAGAACTGTTTTAACTGAAGCGACTGAAGCAGAGAAGAGCTGTTTTAACTGAAGCGATTGAAGCAGAGAAGAGCTGTTTTAACTGAAGCGACTGAAGCAGAGAAGAGCTGTTTTAACTGAAGCGACTGAAGCAGAGAAGAGCTGTTTTAACTGAAGCGACTGAAGGAAAGTAGAGAAGAGCTGTTTTAACTGAAGCGACTGAAGCAGAGAAGGGCTGTTTTAACTGAAGCGACTGAAGCAGAGAAGAACTGTTTTAACTCAAGCGACTGAAGCAGAGAAGAGCTGTTTTAACTGAAGCGACTGAAGCAGAGAAGAGCTGTTTTAACTGAAGCGACTGAAGCAGAGAAGAGCTGTTTTCACTGAAGCGACTGAAGCAGAGAAGAACTGTTTTAACTGAAGCGACTGAAGCAGAGAAGAGCTGTTTTAACTGAAACGACTGAAGCAGAGAAGAGCTGTTTTAACTGAAGCGACTGAAGCAGAGAAGAGCTGTTTTAACTGAAGCGACTGAAGCAGAGAAGAGCTGTTTTAACTGAAGCGACTGAAGCAGAGAAGAGCTGTTTTAACTGAAGCGACTGAAGCAGAGAAGAGCTGTTTTCACTGAAGCGACTGAAGCAGAGAAGAGCTGCTTTAACTGAAGCGACTGAAGCAGAGAAGAGCTGTTTTAACTGAAACGACTGAAGCAGAGAAGAGCTGTTTTAACTGAAGCGACTGAAGCAGAGAAGAGCTGTTTTAACTGAAGCGACTGAAGCAGAGAAGAGCTGTTTTA